AGGTGATTAGATTGTGGGGCCCATGCCCTAGTGAATTGATGGTCATGGGCATGGTTCTGAGGGCTTTAAAAGGAGAGCCAGTGAGGAGGTTAACTCTCTTTGCTTCCACCATCCACCATGTGACACCCTGTTTTGCCATGAAGAGTCACTACCCACCAATAAGGCTCTTACCAGATGTATTCCCTGGTCTTTGGACTTCCCAACCTCTAAAACTGTAAACAATAAATGTTACTTTGCAAATTACATAGTTCCAGGTATTTGGTTATAAGCAACAAAATGGACTAATACCGTTCTAGGCCCTGCCCTTCTGTGGAGCTGCTGTCTGCAGGCCAGGGGGTATTCCGGTTTGTGGTCTCTTGTAGTGATAGGCTTTTGTTCAAAATGATCTCCCTTCTCCATCCCTGATGGCTGCAAACTGTACCACACTGCTATGTTCACTCTGGATATTTTTATCTTCAATATCATCTTCTCAATCTAATTTATCACTAAATATTTCTTCTTGTTAAAAAAAATCAGTCAATTCACAAGGTATATTGGTTAAACTTTTTGATCTTCAAGTAGAAGTTCCATTCTATCACTGGCCAAAAGCATCTGTTAGCATCTTTCACTCATTTCTTAAAAAGTGCTGTCTGGCTAGGCTAAGGCCTGGAATCCTCACACAGCACCAGTTGTCTAGCTTTCAATCCTGTTTGTGATGCCAATTGGAAAGCTAGGTGACCATGCCACTTGTGGTGCTCTTTTACCTGCCAGTAATCCTGAACCAACTGGGCCTATTGTCGAGCTAAGGCTGGGTCTGGAGCCCACAGACCCCTCAAGCCCGTTCACAGGTTGGATCACAAACCCTTCACATGCCAGGCTGGGTTCCCAGACCCCTCACACACCAGGCTGGGTCACCAGACCCCTCACACGCCAGGCTGGGTCACCAGACCTCTTCATGCAGGTCTATGAGCTAGGTAACTGGCCAAAAGGTCCTTGGAGCCATAGGTTGGAAAGCATGGCTGTGCCAGGAGGACGCTTGAGGCTGATGCCTGCCTGCCTGCTTCACTGAAACTCCTCTCTCTCTCTCTCTCTCTCTCTGCAGAACATGCGAATAGCAACAAAACTAAAAAGATACACTGGTGCACATGCACACTAACTCCCCACACAATTTGCTTACAAAGGATGCTGAACCACACCCAACTGGACCTGAGGTGAGGGCCCTGACCTAACTATTCTATTTTCCCAACAAGTGCCATTAGATTTTGAAAACTATGTCTAAGAAGGAGTCTCCAGGAAATGGAGTTTAACCGCTGTGGTAGATGCTGCTTTTGCCCCATCCAGACACCATTTCCAGCTGGTGCACACATCCCTCAGCTGTGCATGCAATCTAACTTGTATTTATATGTGGAACAGGCACTTACATTTACTAAATTCCAAAACACATTTAGTACTTCTGGTGATCGTTTTTTATTGAGGAATATTCCTATAATTGACTATTTTAATACTTCTATCTTCTCTATCCTTTAGTATTTTTACAATTGAATTGTAGACAAAAAAGAACAAAATCTATAGTAAACATAACCATAGTAATTTTAAAAAGTAACGGCAATATTTATTGAGCACTACTTTGTGCCAAGCATTTTCCACACATTATTTCAATAATACATACATAGGTAGAAATTGCTCCCATTTTACAGATGAGAAAAGCAAAGTTTGGGAAAGTTCAGTGACTTGCCTAAGGTAACAGTGGGTGGTTGAGCAGGGATTCCCTTTCATGTGGTCTGACACAGAGCTCACATTCCTGCACAAACCTCAGGATCACTTAAAAATTAATGTTGGAGTGGTGGAGTTGGGCATTTGGAAAGTAATGGTGGTGGTAGTGAGGCTATTATGTTCTCTCTCTCTCTCTCTTTCTCTCTCTCTCTCTCTCACACACACACATGTGCGCACACACATGCACACATGCTAATCTATTAAGTGGTGGTGGTAGTGAGGCTATTATGTTCTCTCTCTCTCTCTCTTTCTCTCTCTCTCTCTCACACACACACATGTGCGCACACACATGCACACATGCTAATCTATTAACCAGTAATTTTTTTCTCTTTTTTTCAAAAAACATGAGAACAATTCTTTTAGATTTAAAGCAACGGTTCCCAGAGCATGACTGGGGGACTCTTGAGGATCCCACACACTCTTTCAGGAGATCTATGAGGTAAAAATTATCTTTGTAATAATATTGTGAGGTCAAAACTGCTTTCATTATGATACAAAGACACTCATTTTTTCACAAGGGTGCTCACAGCAGAATCTTCCAGCAGCTACCTGAAATGGGCTATTGTAACAGATTGAATGAAGCAGATATGCAAATGCAGCTGTCTTCTGGTAAGTCTAATAATAAAGAGATTTGCAAAAATGGCAAAATAATACCATTCGTCTAATTTTTTTTTGAAATAGTAATTTTTTCATAAGAATATTTGATGTTAATATATAATAATTTTAATATTTCTATATTTAAATGAATTAAACATTAAAAAAATTCTCAGTTTTAATTTCTAACACAGTAAGTATTGACAGACAACCCACATAAAAAAAAAGCTTTTGGGGGTCCTTAACACATTTAAGAGCACAGAGAGGTCCTGAGACCAAAGAGTTTGCTCTGTAAATCAATTATAAAATACCTTTATGTTGCAAAATTGAACAAGCATGTCACAAATGGAAATTAACTCAGATGATTTATTGCTGCAGCTCTGAGAGTTTAGCCAAGATCAACTACTATTTTACTAAATCATGAAACATCACTTCCTTGTATGTGTCCACTCTGGGAGGAGATCTGAATAATGTATCCAGAAATATAATCTGCTGTCAGCAAGGCTGTGAGAAACAGAAACTCCTTGAAGCACAAGAAGATTAATAACAAACTACCACAAAACATGTTTCCCAAAAAAAGGTAGACCAATGTGACTCTTCAACTAAGACACTCATTTTGATTTCCAACAAGTGTTTCTACGCAAAAAATGTGTAATCACTACTGCAAGATCATGCCCTTTCTCCACCAACAAAAATGTAGGGAAATAGTGTTAAAGATGTCTATTGAAGGGGCAGAAAGAGGCCTTTGCACAATATTTCTTTCTATGAATTGGGTTCTCATTTCCCTTTTCATGTATACTCCTTTCCTCCTCTTCCGAACCTCATGTCTCCTCCTAAAAAGTCTTTAGTCTTTATCCTTTTTTTAAAGTGCAAAAAATAACATAAAAGATAGAGAACAAAGGAGACAGTTTAATACTGAGAGACCACCCTTGCATACATTGCAACATATATAAAATTATTCAAATCTTCAATTTGAGATTTTAATTGGTATGAGTTATTCTATTAAAATGAGCTACAAAGAGCTATTAAAACTCTAATGAAATAGAACTACCACATGATCCAGCAATCCCTCTTCTGCATATATATTCAAAGGATTTGAAATCAACCTGTTGAAGAGATCGCTGCACTCCCACATTCACTGCAGCATTATTCACAATAGCTAAGATATGGAAACAAGGGCCGGCCTGTGGCTCACTCGGGAGAGTGTGGTGCTGATAACACCAAGGCCACGGGTTCGGATCCCATATAGGGATGGCCGGTTAGCTCACTGGCTGAGCGTGGTGCTGACAACACCAAGTCAAGGGTTAAGATCCCCTTACCGGTCATCTTTTAAAAAAAAAAAAAAAGATATGGAAACAACCTAAGTGTCAATCAATAGATGAATGGATAAGGACAATGTGGTATATATACACAATGGGATATTACTCAGGCTTAAAAAGAAAAGAAAATCTTTCATTTTAGACAACATGGATGAACCTTTGGCCAAAATGCTAAGTGAAATACTCCAGGCACAGAAAGAAAAATACCACACCATCTCACCTATATGTGGAATTTTATTTTATTTTTATTTTTTATTTTTTATTTTTTTAAAGATGACCGGTAAGGGGATCTTAACCCTTGACTTGCTTTGGAGAGAGCCATTGGTGTGGTCATGTACACAACAGTGTGTGTGTGCATGCAGAGGGTGGGGCTGAGACAGAGGTGAGGCTAGATTGGCAGAGTAAAACCAGTACAGAAACACCATACACCACAGTTAAACTCGACCTCTATTGGGAAAGGTTAGTTTTTTGAGTACGCGGAAGACCTCTATGTATAAAACAATTCCCCTATATGGACACCAAGAATTGGAACCATGGCAAGGTTCCAGTGTCTGATTTAAAAGTAACACTCTTGCAGCTTGGCCTATTAAGAATTTATATCACATGGGCCATTCAATGAAGGAAAAAAAAACCTTATTAATAATGTAATATTAAATTTAAAATTATTTACAATCTAAAACACATTTTTATTACAATATGCCCACAAAGTAATATATGAACAAAATATAATCTATAAAAATCGTATTTCATAATCAGATACTGGCTTCTGAAAGTTAGTTCTCAAGCTAAAAATCCTTGGTAACTAAGGGAAAAACAGTTTTAAAATACAATATGTTTCATTTGAGAAATACTTCTATTTGAGATTGGATTACTTTTTGAGACACCATAACAATTTGATTGTAGGCATAAAGTCACCTAACTTTATTAAAATAGGCTAATCTAGATTTTGTTTGAGAGCATATGTATGTACAAGTGTGTAAGTAAACTATAGCCTGAAGTCATATTATTCTTCAAAGTCCATAGAGAATTCTCACAAAACAATTCCAAGATTTTAATTGCATATTTTAAAAGAAAGTTCACCCTAAAAATAAATATATACTTTGGAAAATGAAATTTCAATCTATTTGTAAGCAACCATGGAGTCCCAGTTAAATGACAGCTCATTAAAGTTGCTTTTTTACCCCCTCGTTTTTAATTTACTATAAAATAATCAAAACTATATCAGCATGGATGAATTTCTTGCCCTGAATATTTTAAAATCTTCAATATTTTGTGTATAATATGTGTGTCATTTGAAACAGACCTTTTCCTTAAAAAATACTCAAAGAGAGAAAGTTTGTTTGCATTTTCTTTGTTCAAGGTGTTTATTGCATCTCAGAGGGCATACATGCACTGGATTTTTAAACCGAAATACAAAGAAAAGCCATTTTGAAATTGGTTTTAGGTAATTTTCCCCTATTACAGTTTATGTTATCCCCACAGTAAATTCAGATACAACCACTTTTAAATGGTACCATACATCTATTAAATAGTTTGAAAAATAGGCAAATACCTTTCCAATCCAGTATGCTTTTACGAAGAGCTGCCAAGCCACTAGCAACACTGATCAACAGTGACCTCATTTATGCATCAAAATCTTAAGCCAAGCCATCAGCACAGACAGTATGACAACAAATTAAAAATCAAAGAATACAGTATGTACAGTAAAGGATACAATTCTCTGAATTTGTTTAAATCCTAACCACAATGATACAACAAAACCTACTTTGAGATCAATTGAAGGATGGAAGAACACTAGTCTAGAGAACACACACAAAGAAATACTAAATTAACAGATGTACATAAAATGCACAGTAAAGTAAAAATATTTGCAGTAATCTTTAAGATACAGATATAACTTGGGGTGCTTCCATAATCACTTGAATAGTACATCTTTAATTGCGTTTTCACAGACATGAAAGAAACGGACCCTTTACTTGTCAGTGCATTTAATCAAGAATGAATAAATAGATCAATTTAGATGCAAAACCTGTTAAAGATAATTAAAATATATATTTTAATATAGCAGTGATAAATATGGAATTCTTCCCTTATGATTTTTCATTCTTGATAAGGTAGCTTCAAGGAGAAGTATTTTTTTTTTTAATGGACGTTAACCTTTATATTTTTTAAAATAAAATTTCTTAACATATACAGTGCCACAAAAATAAACATTTCTCACAACAGTTGAAGTTCTTGTGATTGGAAAAATGTACTCCACACAGAAAAAAGTTTTGTATATTTAAGAGTGTTTTTCTTACTATCTGATATTACCACACTACGCTTGTAACAGAGATACAGAAGAAAAGAGAATTTATGGGGAGAGATTAGGGTTTGTCCAAAGTTATATATACATCGAAACCTTCAAAAACACAAACATCTTTCCAAGTGGCTCACCACACAACAGCTGCATCATCTGTCCATGGGCGAGGTTCAGAAAAGCACAAAAGGCATCAGAAACATCCATTCATTGTTTACATCTTAAAACACACAGATAACCCAAATACACTACAGTTTCGAGAGCAGGGATAACAGCTAAGGTAGTACACGTTCCTAATGTTCACTTTCACAGCTGTGCTACACATTTTGGAAGAGAAGTTATGAGTAAGCATTGGGTTTGGTACTGGTGGCTCCCTTTGAAACTCTGAGCATCAATCTTATTTGAAGTCTCCAAACTCATTTTTTTCCTATTCAGTCACAAAAATCGCAGCTGTAAAGAAAAAAGTACTTGAATTAGAAAACAGGCTGTTACATACTTAAACATTTTACCTCCCTTGCAATTTTACTTCATAGTTACTAACTGCAAAAAATCTTTACACAAAAGCTTTCTGTATTAACAAATTCATATTCATATACTTACAAAACTCTTTGAAACAAGTTTAAAATTTCAGCCAGGAAATTTTAAAAAAAACAAAGAACTTTCTATGTATAGTTTCATTTTAGATAAAAATATGTCAACAAAAGTTAGAAATTTTGATACTTATCAGAAATTTTAGAAGTAAGACATTCAGTATCAACTAAGAGCAGCTAACCTTTAAAAAAAAAAGGCAGTGGGGGGTGGCAGTGACTTCCATTATTTTTTGCTTCTATTCAGTTATGGTGTTTAATGAGTCACTTACTAAACAGTTGAACAAGTGACAGAATAGAAGAGAAGAGAGACAGCCCTCATGACTCAATGCCTTCTCTCAGACCACTCCCCACTTATCTCCCTGGCTAATTCATGCTTCATCAGTCATTTCTGTCAAAAAACCTTTCCTGGGTCTTAAGACTTAGCCCTGCAGGGGCCTCTTCTTCATATTATAATCTCTCTCCTGTGAATCCCTGAGAACAGGGACTGTCTCAAGCATCTCTGTTTCTGGTACTTATCAAAGTTCCTGGCATACGATGAGAGCGATATTTAGGCTGCTCTATGCAGTTTCCTTGATCTCTTCTGAAACTTTAATTGTGAAGAAATAAGTGCTCATTGTTTTGTTTGTGCCTAATCAGCCCCACTCACAGTGGAATAGAAAAGCTGGGCACAAGGAGAAATTACTTGACTGAGATGTTAAAGCCTTACGACAATATATTATTAATCTTGTAAAAAAAAATCATAAAGTAGGAATCCAAAAAATCTTAGCAGGCATTAGGCAAAGTTTTTAATAAATATAGGCTGTGGATATATAATAAAAACAGCACTGGACAGTGGTTCAAAACTTAAACACTCTTACTGTTTTTCCTGTGAGTCCTGGGGCAAATCACTTAATACCCAAGGATCAGTTCTTTTAGCTGTGAAATGGAGACAAAAAATATCTGGCTAGTTTATCTCACGGGATTTGATCTCCCACCGAGAAGACTGAAGGAGTTAACAACTGGGAAGTAAATATAAACAGTACTTTGTAAATGAAAAGCAGTATTAACACTGTTCATCCATTTAGCAAATATTTGTTGAGAACCTACTCAATTTGTTAGGTGCTGGGGTTGATAATAAATGTCCTTCCACAGTTCACTATTAATCATTTCATAAATTGTATGAGATATATGAAATTTAAAGCTAAAATGTTTTTTTAATTTATCAATATACAATGTAGTTAAAATTTTAAAAAAAGACAAACATACAAAATCTTAATACCATTCCTATAAATGTCATTGCTTTGAACTAATTTGAAATTTTGAAATTGCCATGAATGTGTGTCTAGCTTTCACTGAATTAGTCACCCAACTAAATTTTTAGTTAGAATATCGATTTAATAAAATATTTTCAGATTTCAAAAAAATAAAAAAAATAAAAAAATAAAACTAGAATGTTAAAAATTCAAAATTCTGCTCGAATGTGGAAATGAAAATGGCAATAATCTAAGCTTTACTCTATGAGGCAACATAAAGATAAACAAAATAAAAATACATTATATTCTTACACTTGATCTTAGCCAAAGGCTGAGAAGCGATATTCTTAGATGATTTCTAAATGCAATATTACAAATGTTAGCTTTCTATAAATTCCAGTCATCATGTAATAAAGTGGAAGTTTTCTAATTTACCAAGTAGCTTGGGCAACTTTTTGCTTTACCTGTATAATCTTTGTGCTTTCTATGATAAGGACAATTTGGAACTTTATTTCCCTCCATAGTTTTATTAGTTATGATTAAAAAAATTGATAGATAGCTTTTAATATTGACTTAAAAAGTATAAACACTCAAAGTATTATTATACACATCTTTTCAAAATAGAAATAACAAATATTATAACTGAAACAGCTAAACATAGTATAGCTCATTATTATAAGCCCGCAGGAAAAGCTCAATATTAGATACCTTAAATTGTTTACAAGAAATCCTTGATGTTAAGATCCGCTAATGGGTCCTTTGCTGGAGGTTTCTTGGGACTCTGAGTGGCAGGTGTAGGGCTTGGAGAAAGCTAATGGGAAAAAAGCCATCCCCAAAGAGCAGAAATAGAAAGCAAACAGAGACAGATAAGCATTAGGTAGAACATATACCACAGAAAACAAACATGCAAAAGATTAGATGGCTAAAATCTACAAGTAGATTTAAACAAGTAATTTACAAAACCTAATTTGTTCTACTTAGTCACAGTGTTGTGTTTAATTCTAGATTGGTTTATTAAAATACAGTACACTTCAAATGATATTTGGCTTTCTTGAAATTTTTTGACATCAGATTTTGCCAAAGTAAAATGTGGAGACTGGTAGAACAATACGGATAAGTTAGGGAAGATGTGAAAAACTAGTCACATAAAGATATTATGTATATACAGTCAAACAAACAAAAAACAGTCAATTTCTCTATTCAAAAGCATTTTTACTTGAGTTATTAGTACCACTAAACTAATAAAGGAATTTAAATGGCTTTTTTTTTTTATAGTAAGAGTGAGTTTGAAGGAAAAATTGAAACAGTTTGCAGAAAGCCACTTAAGAAATTATTTAAAATTATTAGCTAAATATAGTAGGATTTCATGTAAATTATTTTAAGTGAAAAATCAGTCAAGTGTCCAGATGAGCAAATAGTTTCCTGGTTATGAATGTCACAAAATTCCAACATCACTTATCCAGCTCTCTGAGAAGGCTAAAACTATGTATTAAATACTATAGGAAAGAATTGTACTAACCTTGGAACGAAAGTAACAAATAATTAACTTACCTTGCTTCTGTTTAATCAGCACTTAAATTATTTCATTGTGTGACAGATATAACTTCTGGGAGCAGACTTTTGCAGTAATATTAGGGTGCAAGCCTTGAAATATCTCATGTAATCTGTATAGAGTAATAGTTGACATCTATGCCTTGAGTCTAATTAATCTCCTACACTTGTAACATGATGGAAATCTCAGAAATCTGGGACTATGGGGCAGAGACGTATGTTTTTATTGGTTCAGTAAACAGAGCTCTAGAAGTATGGATTTTGAGATTTGTTCCCATGTCCAGAAACTGACTGACTGACTGCATTAGCAATCGGTCAAATTCCCATTTATAAAACTGTGATAATGCTTCATAAAAGTATCAGGAAGGAGAAGTGTAAGACTTGAAGTTGCTTAGAAGATAAGAAACTCAAGGATTGGTCTACAATTAGTAATTAAGTGAGATGACAATATCATGATACTAATCAATTAAAAAAACAGTGGGATAGTTCAGGCTCAATAATGAAAAACTGTTTTGTTTTCTGAAGCTACAAACTTGTTCTCTGATATAATTATGCCTTTTCTCTGATATAGGAAATACAATATAAAAATTGTATAAATATGGTATACTATTTCCTTACTTACTATAAACTCATGTAGTGATTAAAACAATGAGTTTTCATCATATCATCTATTTTTCATTCTTCAAATTAAGAAAACAAATTGATGCTACCACTCGTGTTGTATAAGAAGAACAATTGCCTTCAGTAATAAAATTGTATTAAATCACTTCTAAAGCTTTCGGCACACCAAATACAATAACGTTAAAAAAAACTCAACATTGTTTATTGTTTCAAGTTCGTAGTAATAGAAACATCCTTCTTTTTTTCAAAAAGGTGGTAAATAGCCATGGATCTATTTAAATATCAAGGAAACATTCATGATAAATGAGGTCCCTTAGAATTTTAGTATATCTAGGTTAAACTTAATCCCAACCATTACGCCCCAAACCTTCCTTGCCACCCCCAAAACCTCTCTAGGCAGGGCTCATTAGTCTTCATGCATACTAGATAATTTCTCCTGAAGCCACTGTGTTGGTTACGGTCATGAAGGGTAGAGCTTCTCACATTCTAAATTTCTCTCTTTCAACACCCACCATTCCTTCTCCTGGTCACTGTGGCTTTTGAGGGATTAAAATGAAGAAGGTGAAAGTAAATTTTGGGAACAAGTGGAGGATGAATTTAGAGATGGATCAAGGAAGCAAAAGGGATTAAAATATACTCAGAAAGTTCACAGTAGGTATCCTATGGATAAGACGATATAAATACCCATTTGGTAAGTTAAAAATATTATGGGAGTAAAACCATTTTCTGATATCATTAAATATATTTGAGCTATTTGGTTTAGTTTGCTCTGCATGCTGCTACTAAAGTGATAGATAATTTGGTGTTCTGACTCCATCCCAGTCAAGCACTCATGGTGGAAACCTTTCGTTCAATATACTCTCCCACCTTGTCCAGACAATTTAAAAGAGGAATCAAGAAAGTATGACTTAATTTGACTAGCACTATTAGCAGCAAAACGGTTCAACAAAGTTCATAAATCTTGTAATTTACCTAGTGATAGGACTGTCTTTGTTATTCATGGCAGGCTCCTGGAACCAAACCTCAGAGTTTATGCTAACAAGGTGACCCATGGGACCCCTCCATAATTTATGCTAACAAGATGACTCTGAGTGTAGGCTGGCCAGGCCAGAAAGACAAAACATGTGATTAGAGGGTCTTTGGACCACAAGATACCAGCCTGATCTCTAGGAGGAAGGGGTGTTAGAGATTGAGTTCTGCCACATGGCTAATAATTCAATCAATCATTTCTATATAATAAAGCTTCAATGACACTAAACACTGAAGTTCAGGTGAGCTTCCTGATTTGGCAATAGTGTATGTACACTGTCTGTCACACATTGATACCAGGAAGGGAACAGCCCTGAGGACAAAGAGGCTTTATGTTTGGAGCTCTTCCAGACATCCCCTATACATCTCTCCCAGATATCATCTATGCATCTCTCCCCGCTTAGCTGGATCTAATTTGTTTCCTTTCACTACCATAAAACTACAGCCTTAAGTTTAGCACTTTCCTAACTTCTGTGAGTCATTCTAGGGAACTGTCTAATATGAGGGTGGCCCTAGGGACTCCCAGACTTGTGGCTGGTGTCTGAAGTGAGGGGATTCTTATGGCGACTGTTGCCTCAGACCTTGTACTTTGGTAGACTCACTGCAGTTAGTGTCACAAGGCTCACGCAGACTTTGCAGTCTGAAGGGCTGTGCCTCAATCCTTTTCAGCTAATTCTGGGAACACATAATGAAAACTATAGGTCAAAAGCACTCATTTCTCTGGGATATATACCCTGAATTCCCTAAATGTCTGTTGTTCTCGGGAACCATTCTGAATTAAGTAGAAGAATGGAGGGACCTTAGGACAGTTATTTCTGTTATTTTTCTCCAGACTTCGCACTGTTGTTATTCTGTCTTCCTTGCTCCCTTTACTTCTGAAGCAACAGGTATGAGGATTACAATTACGTAAAAACACTTTTTAAACAGTTTGCCACATGAAAATTTTATACTTATGAGTCAATGTCACTGTTTCGTGGACCTTTAAGAAACTGACCTGTGTGCCAGGCACAGCTGCGGCTCCAAAGGGTGGCCTCATCATGGGCTGTGCAAACATAACTGGCTGCTGAGGCATCATGGGCATGCCTGTCCCAGCAGGTGGCTGAAAGGAAGAGCAGGTCAGAGCATGAGTGGAGTCCACCAGGGCAATACCCTGACATTTATGGCTTTCAAATGCTTCTGACAAATTTTGAGGAATCCAGGTCCACGAGAAAGTAAAATTTGTAGCTGTGAACTATGGGTGCTGGGATACTGGCAGATGGAAGGGGGTCACTGAGGTAGGGTGTGAGCCTGGCTGGCCGCACATCATCGACATCCCAGCCAGGCTTTGTTGTTTATTTGTCTTCTGTGAGCATAATTCTTGAAGAAATAAAAACTTGCTTCTTTATGGAAGGTGGCTCTAAAATTTGCTGGTGATAAAAGTTATAAGCGAAATGTTCTAGTAAAGTGACTAAGGGATTGTGATGGTTAATTTTAGGTGTCAGCATGACTGGATTAAGGAATACCTAGAGAACTGGTAAAACATTACTTCTGGGTGTGCCTGTGAAGGTGTTTCCAGAGGAGAATGGTATGTGAGTCCACACACTGAATGGGGAAGATCACCCTTGATGTGGGTGGGCACCATCCAATTGGCTGGGGGTTCAGGTAGAACAAAAAAGGAGAGAAAGGATTTCCCCTCTCTCTTCTGGAACTGGGCCACTCTCTTTCTTCCTCATGCCCTTGGACATCAGAACTTCAGGCTCTCTGGCCTTAGGAATCCAGGACTTAACACCAGTGGCCATCAGGTTCTTAGTCTTTCAACCTCAGATTAAGAATTACACCAGTGGCTTCCCTGGTTCTGAGGATTTTGGACTTCTACTGAGCCATGCCACTGGCAACCCAGGGTCTCACAGCTTGTATACGGCCTGTTGTGGGGCTTCTCAGCCTCTACAATCACATGAGCCAAATCCCCTATGCAGTGGATTGAAGGGCCCCTCCAAAGCCATTGAAGCTCAATCCCCACTATAAATGTTGACAGTAGGAATTATGTAATTAGGTAATTGAAAGGTAGGGCTTTGAAGAGGTGATTAGATTGTGAGGACCATTGTGAATGGTTTAATGATGGTCATAGGCATGGTTCTGAGGGCTTTAAAATGAGAGCACGTGAGAGTCGATCTTTCTCTCTCTGCTCCACCATTTTTGCCGTGTGATATCCCACATCACTGAAATGACCACCAACGAAGGCCTTCGCCAGATGTGTTCCCCGGACTTTGGACTTCCCAGTCTGTGCAACTGTAAGTAATAAATTTCACTTCCTTATAAATTACCCAGTTCCAGGTATTTTTGTTATAAGCAACAAAAATAGACTAATACACCCTAATAAATTCCCTCTTATATTTATATATCTATATCTGTTTTTTTT